TGGGCAAAGGATATGAACACTTTTCAAAAGAAGACATACATGAGGTCAATAAACATATGAAAAAATGCTCATCATCACTGGCCATTAGAGAAATGCATATCAAAACTACATTGAGATACCATCTCATGCCAGTTAGAATGGCAATCATTAAAAAATCTGGAGACAACAGACGCTGGTGAGGATGTGGAGAAATAGGAACACTTTTACACTGTTGGTGGGGGTGTAAATTAGTTTAACCATTGTGGAAGACAGTGTGGCAATTACTCAAGGACCTAGAAACAGAAATTCCTTTTGACCCAGCAATCCCATTACTGGGTGTATATCCAAAGATTATAAATTGTTCTATTATAAGGACACATGCACACATACGTTCATTGCAGCACTGTTTACAATAGCAAAGACTTGGAACCAACCCAAATGCCCATCAATGATTGACTGGACAGGGACAATGTGGCACATATACACAATGGAATACTATGCAGCCATAAAAACCTATGAGTTTGTGTCCTTTGTAGATACATAGATGAAGCTGGAAACTATCATTCCCAGCAAACTGACACAGGAACAGAGAATCAAGCACCACATGTTCTCACTCATAGGCGAGTGCTGAACAATGAGAACACATGAACACAGGGAGGGGAGCATCACATACTGAGGTTTATCGTGGGGTACTAGGAGGAGGACAGTGCGGGGTAGGGAGTTGGGGAGGGATAAAATGGGAGAAATGCCAGATATAGGTGATAGTGATGGAGGCAGCAAACCACATTGCCATGTGTGTACCTATGCAACAATCTTGCATGTCCTTTACATATACCCCAGAACCTAAAATGCAATAAAATATATATTTAAAAAAAAAAAAAACCTTGAAAGAAATATATATGTTATTCATTATGACCATGTACCATTTATCACTGGGATGCAAGGATGGTTCAATATATGCAAATCAATCAATATGATACATCATATCAACAGAATGAACGATAAAAAACCTTATGATCATTTCAACCAATGCTAAAAAGCATTTGGTAAAGGTAGAATCCTTATCTGATCCAGGGATCTCACTTCTGGATATATTTCAATTCATAAGAATTAAGATGAGAATCTCAAAGGGACATCTGCACTCCTATGTTAACCTGAAGCATTGTTTGCAACAGCTAAGATAGGGAAACAACCTAAATGTCCATCAACAGATGAATGGATAAAGAAAATGCGATATATACATATAATATTATGAATATTATTCAGCCTTAGAAGGAAATTCTGCCATATGCTACAACATGGGTTAATTGAAGGACATTAATTAAGTGAAATAAGCTATTCATGGAAGGACAAATACTGCATGACTCCACTTATACGAGGTATCTAAAAAGGTCAGTCATAGAAACAGAGATTATAATGTTGGTTGTCAGGGGTGAGGAAAGAGGGAAATATGGGAGTTGTTATTCAACAGATATAAAGTTTCAGTTATGCAAGATGATTAAGTTCTAGAGATCCACTGTACAATATTGTTAACTATATTGTTAATAATAAAGTCAGCAATACTGTACTGCACACTTTTAAATTTGCTAAATGTTCTTACCATAATAAAAAAAAAATCAAAATTAAAAAAAAAATACATTTCTCAATTTTTTAATAAAGTTAAACTGAACTATGAACTTAGGAGCTGAGAGGATAAGCTGGGAGAGTTTGAAATGAAAACTCCTATAATGAATTAACTAATGTATTGTAAAGAACAGAAACAAGGTCAGCAAATATAAAATGAAATTCTGTTTAACTTCGTAAATGAGTAAGGAACACTATGTTTTATTTATCGGCATGGATAATGACTATGGGTGTGTTCACCCACAGTGATTCATTAAGCTTATGATTTATAACCTTTTCTGTAAGTAAGTTATATGACAATAAAAAAAGTAAAAACAACAAGTACATACTCTTTGTTCTGGCATTTGTAGACATGATTGAGAGTAGAATAAACATGAAGAATAGATATAATGTTTTTCATGTTTAGGGATTCAGGTTCCTCTACTATTCTCTTCATAAACAGATCCATTAAATCAACAGGTTGAAAACCAAGGTTTTCAAATGAAATGAGAAGAAAAAGAACCTTAAAAAGAGAAAATTGAGGGAAAACTCTTTAATACTTACAGTATGCTAACGGTAATTTTTTGGATCTCAAAAAATCTAACTAGTAATTCAACTCTCCTGATCAACGGGAGATATCCTGAAAAGGAACAATTATCTCTCCCTCACAAAATCTGTACCATTAATTCTTGAATTGTGCATTAAGTTAATAAGTAATCATTTTATAAGCAGAGAAGCAGAGCATATAATGGTTTCTATGTTTCCATTTCATTTAAAAATAAACTCTTTCCTACATCATTTTCATAAAACAGATCTGAAAATTACTTTTAAATATGCCTTTTCTGAAGGTTTTCAAAATGACCAACTCAGTCTTGAACTCCTCCCATTCCCAAATTTAAAAACTTCCTAGATTCTAACACGTAAGACATAACCCCCTAATTTATATATTTAATACTAATATCTATAAGTGAGAGTGGAACTGAAACATCACGATTAAAATAGTCTCTCAAACTTTTTTACTTAGGATTATTACTTCTCTTTCCATAACCAATTTCCACAGTAAACTCAAAATTCACCGTGCTCTCCAAAATAAACTGAACCTAGAGATCTAACAAAGTTATCACCTATTTCATTGCAAAAATAAGTTTTTGCCAGCTGCTTCATTTAGATGTTTATATTCTTAACACAGCTCCCGATTTTAAAGGCTTTTACTCTGGACAAAACAATGGACATGACCATAAGTAGTGACATTTTATTCTTCAAAAACCATAAGCCTGTCACATCATCCCTCTTTATTATTCAAAATCTATCAAGAAAAAATAAACACAGAAATGATGCTAAATATCTAATCAAAGTACTCTATACAACCCTTTAAAACCAAATAGAAGAGCAAACTTTGGACAATATTATTTTGTTTCAAATAGAAAGATGACCAAAAGATAGAATACTATACAGATGATCCCTGACTTATGGTGGGTTATATCCCAACAAACTCACCATAAATTGAAAATACTGTAAATCAAAATGCATTTAACACATCCAACTTATTGAACATCATAGCTTAGCCCAGCCTACCTTAAACATGCTTAGAACTTACATTCACCTATAGTTGGGCAAAATCAGTTAACAAAAAGCCTATGTTATAATAAAAGTGTTGAATATCGCAGGTAATTTATTGAATACAATATGCACTATCTACCCTCGTGATGGCACAGCTGACTGGGATCTGCGACTTGCTGCCACTGCCCAGCATGAAAAGAGAATATCATACAACATATCGCTAACCCAGGAAAACATCAAAAATCAAAAAAGTATGGTTTCTACTGAATGCATATTGCTTTTGAGACATCAAAAAGTCAAAAAATCATTAAGTCAAGCCATCCAAAGTTGGGGACTATTCGTATTAGCAAGTAGCCCCCAGATAGGAATAATAAGGAACTAATTTCTCAAAAGTCAATTCAGCATTGGAGTATCTGGATATCTTAACTACTATAAAGGTGAAAGAGAAATATTTAAAATGCTAAATGAATTAGCATGTGTTTCAAAAGTTTTGTGAGGCTTATTCTAAACTGTTAATATACTCACTTTTTTGAACTTCCAGATGTCAAAAGTTGTAGCCACATAATCCGCTAGTCCCTTGAAGAGATCTAAATTATAGTATCGGAGGTCTTTGCAGGACTGCAATATGTTGATCATTATTTTTAAAGGACACCCATGGATATTACCTTCAAGAATGAGTTAAATAAGCAAACAAAGATTATCAGATTGTTTTGAATGCAGGCTACAACATGCTTTATTCTTTTTTTCACATAAAACCAAAGTTTTTAAAACAAAACAAAAATAGTCTAAAACAGAAGGTCAGGTGTTACAAGTGATGAAAGAAAAATTCCCCTTACCTAGGACCATCTTACTGCATTCATTCAGGAGTATAAGAGATCGATGATTCATGGCAGCTAGTACCTCAAACATGTGCTGGCTATTCACAACAGAAAATCTGTCTAATTCCTTCAAGGCTTTCATCTAAAGAAAAACAAACTTAATTTACTATCTGTGGCAAAATAAATTAAACTTTTATTTTTATTGAGACAGGGTGTTTCTCTGTCACCCAGGTTGAAGCCTCAGCCTCCCAGGCTCAACTGATCCTTCTGCCTCAGTCTCCCACGTAGCTGGGGTTACAGGCATGCACCACCACGCCTGGTTAATTCTTTGATTTTTTTTTTTTGCAAAGACAGGGTCTTGCTCAATTAGCCAGGCTAGTCTCAAACTCCTGAGCTCAAAAGATCCCCCTACCTTGACATCCCAAAGTGCTGAAATTATAGGTGTGAGCCACCATATCTGGTCTAAATTTTTATTTTTAAATAAAAAAGATGATGTTTGGGTAAAATGACCCAAACAAATAGATAAATGCATATACATTTATATATACACAGATAAATAAATATAAGGACACTTCTATTAATTCACTTTAGCAAAGCTACACCTAAAAGCCCAACAATGCCCTCTTAGACAATTGACTTCAAGCAGTCATAGCAGGTTACAAGAAATAATTTTTCCAAATCTCATCCACTAGAGAAAATTCATGTGTTTACCTCCAGTTTCCTCTTAAGAGCATTCGGTGCATCTTTTCCAATACATTTCATCACAGCTTGTAACGTTAAGACATCTTCTATTTTCCAAACTTGCTGATCAACTAGTATTCTGTTATCAAACACAGTAAATATTACAATCACAGAATCGTCAAAGCAGAAGACAAATCTTAAAATTTCACTTGATCCAGCTCCTTCTTACAGGAAAGGATTATGAAGCCCAGAGAAATGATCTACCTGCCCAATAGAGTGTAAGTAGTAAAAGATCGAGAACCAATCTATTAATAGTGCTATTCTCTCTCACATTATCGTACTGCCTTTACTAAGGAACAAATTAAATTACATCAGGATATTACAGTAACATATCCTACGCATAGTCAACTAAAAGGGAATTAAGTGTTACTCTCACTAATCTATGTTAGATCAGTTGTATCAATTTTATAAATTCCTTTTTAAGCTGGGCCAGTGTCAAATAACCCTCAAATAATGCCTGAATAACTCTTCTGAATATACATATCAATTTTCTCCCACCCACATCAGTACTATGTTTTAAAATAAATTAATTTAGATGTCAATGGTACTCACATCTTTGTTATTATGGACCCTAAAAGAAGCATTTCCAGCCTTATGTAATCCAGAGTCAGGATTTTAAGCTTAATAAGGCATTAAAGACTGCAACTAGCAAAAAGCCTCACCAACTCCTCCCCTCAAGAAAGCAGTTTAGTTTTCATCTCAATTTTTTAGGTTTAAAAGGAACAAAGAAAACCACATGAAGAAAGCATAAGAGAGTTCTCACCTGAATCCTGCTTGTAGAGCATGAACATTCCTGCATGGCTCCATTGCCTCTAAAACAGTGGACAAAACTGAAAGGCACACGTCATCACACTCATTGATACGCTCCTATTGAAATATAATTACAAAAATACTACAGGTGATAAGCCCATAGTAAATTATCTCATCCAAGCAAAACCACTGAACTGACGCACTGAATAAAAGGACTAAGTATCAAGCCAACAATTCCCACAGTCAGTCCACAGTTAACAGCATCTTCAGGAAATAAAAAGTCATACTTACCGAATTTTCCAGCTAACTGATATACATCCTTTTATGTGTCAACACTTTTTTACCTTCACCATTATCACTGAAAACATATTTAATATTCATTATATTCCACTGCTTCTGAAACAACTTCTATTAAACATTATTTTTACCTCTTTTTGGAACCAGGTCATTACAAAGGCAAAAACAGTTAAAGTACAGGAATATAAGAACTACAGAGGTATAGAAGGTAACTAGCCCATCTCTAAAGATCCTTAAATGGTTGTGCCCTTGCGATTTTCCTAGATCCATTCCTGAGTGTCAAGCTGAAACTCTACTTGTGGATCTTCTAATTCACATCTCCTGCCACATTCTACCACTAGTATCTGGGTCTCAAGGGAAGCCTACACCCCACAGATTCTTCTTTCAGGTCCCTTTACTTAGAGTACTAAATTGGATTCCAGAAATAACAGCAGGCATAATTTGGAAAGTGAATAGTAACAACACAGCTTACCTAGTACTACTCTACAGTTTAACCACAACTAGTCTATACACCTCACAAAAGATCACATCTGAGGAAACTTAGCCTAAAAAGAGATACGCTCTTTTGCTAAAATTACATAACAACCAATCACAAAGTTTTAAGTCAGAACCAGATAAGAAATGGATATGGTTAGAAGAAAAAAACAGGTTTTTTTCCTATGAAAGGATTTCCTTAACAATTTTACAGCATTCCCTTCATATCTACTATGAAAGAAAAGACCACTTGGCTATGTGTTTGAAGGGCAAATTCACTGATGGAACACTGTCCTTTCGCCTCTATCTAAAATAAATGTCTTTATATTATTCCAACAGTCAGTAAGACATATCATCCATAGAGATGTTTTGACTACAAAAATCTACTACTCAAACCTCACCAACACAGATGTCATCCCCATGTGAGTTTATTTGTCCAAAATCTAGTAAGAGTATCACTGATCAGGTTACAGTCACTTTTAAATAACTATATAGGGAACTAAAACACAGTCTACAAATAAACATGGATATTCTGTGGTTTAAACAAATATACACACATACACTAAATAAAAGTTATTGCTTAAGAACATATGGATCTTTGGCTAGAGTCACAGACTTAAAAAAAGAACATATGGAAATCACAGTAATGTAAAAAGTTAAAAATTTCCAAATAGCTAGAACCCAATTCTTGAATTCTATAGCAAGATAGGATACATGCCAGAATTATTCCCAAGAAATTCCTGTCTTTTAAAAAATAATTATTATTTTCAGACAGGGTCTGGCTCTGTCAGTCTGACTGGAGTGCAGTGGCACAATCATGGCTCACGGCAGCTTCGATCTCACAGGCTCAAGCGATATTCCCACCTCAGCCTCCCAAGTGGCTAGGACCACAGGCAAGTACATCACACCCAGCTAATTTTTGTAGAGACAGGGTCTCCTTATGTTGCCCAGGCTGGTCTCAAACTCCTGGGCTCAAGAGATCCCCCTGTCTTGGCCGCCCAAAGTGCTGGGATTACAGCTATGAGCTACCACACCTGACTAAAAAATTACTTCATTATTATTTTTAGAAGTCAGAAGTGTACACTCTTAAAACATAAATGATTAAAAAGCTAATCTCTCCTTCCTTACATCTGGCACCATTTCAGTTACATTAAACAGGACATTGACATTCTTGCTTTAGACTAAAAATGGCTCACTCCAGCCAATTTCAACCTTCTTCCAATCCATTTTCCACTCATTCAGTGATCTAAAATACAAATTTGAGCATGTCAACTCACTGCTTAAAATTTTTCGATGGATTCCCAGTGCCAGGATAAACGCATACTCCTTAGCTAGCCATAAGAGGCTCTTTATGATTTGTTTCCTGTTTTTCTAGCCTCTTGTCCTGCACCCCTGCCCCCCAAGCCTCTTGACCCTCACTCCTCTCCTTTGATCACCACGTACAAAATTTCTTCCCATCCCCTCAAACAAACATCTCAGTTATTCTGTACTTCAGCCACACTAAATTACTTTCATCTCTTCAACTCTGCCAAACTTTTCCTCTGGGAACGTTAGGGCATTCGATCCTCTCTAATTAAAACACCAGCCCCTTCACTATCAATGTGCTCATTAGTTTAGGTATCATCTACTGAGCCTGAATCCCAATTCTACCATGGACTAGATTACCTTCCTTCCCTTTCCTTTCTCTCCTTCTTCAACTACCCAGCCTTTCTTTGTATATCTTGCATCTCTTCTCATTTTAGCTTCTTCACCGCTACTCAACTCTGGGGACGGTAAATGGGGAAGGTTTTCATAAATTTCCACAGCAGAAGGAAGAAAATAACTAGCTAACTTAAGGCCTCCAAATCATATAATACATATGCAAAAATAAATAAAAGGAAACTACCATTCCATTTGACAGTCTCTTTTAAGGAGGCTACATATCTATTTCCCATCATTCTTTCAAAATACTGTAAATCAAGTAAAAGCATGTTTAAATCTCCTTTATATTTTACCTGGGTCACCCTCAGCAAAGTCTGTACCAAAAGAGTGTTCTGAGGGATTCCAAGCTTCACTATGGCATGAAGACTGAACAGCAGGTACTTATATTGCATGATCTTGGCTTCTCTCATCGTATGTTCACAGAGCTGATTAAACGCAGGGTGGCTAAACATCAGTTGTTTTTCAAAGCGCTTCTGTTCGTCAGACAGTCTTTTGGCAATTGTCCACATTGCTGTGAAATAGTTGCTACTAGGAAATGTAGGTGCTTTTGAAAACGTATCTAACACATCACTAAGGGAATTACATTCCTGAGACAGTGTGCTATTGCTGATACGATTTGGTTTTGTTTTGTTGTTAAGAACATCTTCATTGGAGACTTCGTGATGAAAGTTTACTTTCTTCAAGCCATCATTAGATTTATCAACAGAGACAAGAGACTGCTTTGAGTCAAAAGACAATCTTCTAGCACAAAGTAGTCTGTCAATTCTAAGGGCTGTTACAGTGCTTATGCCCTTTTTTTGAAAGCCAACATCTGATTTTAAAATGAATGCATCCTGAAAGAGATATCTAATGATACCAGATGATTGCATTCTCTTACAAAAGTCATTTAAAGTGTTCCAGTCTGAATAAACTATTTTTGGTTTGCAAAGTCCCAAAGGATATAGCCTCATAGTTCTGCTTTTTGGAACTAAAGTCCTGAATTGTTTAAGGTTCCAGAACAAGGAGCCTGCTTTGTTACTCATTTTGCTCTCCACTGAAACACTTCCAAAAAGTTTTAAAGTGGTCAATATGAAACCAACGTCACTTCTACTAGTGAAAAAGAAAACGTGCTGTGGTTTTCCTGTAGGGGAAGAAGTAATGAAAAGAATAAAAATTAAAGCAAAACTTTTACTTAAATGGAATGCATTTAACAGAAGAGAAAATGGGGAACCTACGGCGCTATTAAAGATTTACATGTTTTTTTTTTTTAATCTATATGGGCTCCCTCCAATATACCACAATGTGTCCAGTTTCAAAGAAGCCAGGTCACTTTCGAAGTAGTCATTGTATAAATGAGGTTTTTTTTGTTTGTTTTTTGTTTTTTTTTTTTAAGGGAATTTCTGGTGCAAAAGCGTTCGAAAAAGCTTCCTTTGTAGGAGAGATTTTTGTTGGCATTGCTATGGAAATGTCCTCAATGAAAATTAAGGGATTAACATTGATAGATCATTTTCAACATGAGGATTTAGCAACGGCCGAACCCAGACCATCAAGAATATGGATTTGGGCCGGCAGAACGGCTCGATGGAAAAAGCAGAAAACGAAAGCGATGTTTGCATGTGGCCTGCGCTTAGGAGGAAGATCTTACACAACCAGCCAGCTTCACCAGGCCCCAGAACCAAAAGAGCCCGTCCTTCTGCAGCTGGGCCGCCCAGCATTAACCCACCTCCTTTAAACTTAATTCCGGGACAACGCCTGAGACTTTGCTCTGCAAGGTAAAAAGTCAGGATGTGATACGTTCAACCACTCAGCCCAGGCTCGTCCTCCACTCACCTTAGGGTAGAACCCCGCGTCCGCATATCGGCGCGGCCATGACAGCTTCCCCGAGAGCTGAGAGTCTCACGAGGTTTTACGGATTCCCTCAAAGGTCAAAAAGTATACGTTCGCGATTGTAGCTGAAGGCCTTACGTAGAAGAAAGCGAAGAGAATGACTAATTACCCTGGATACAGGGATGGGGATCGGGGCTACTACAGTGCTTATAAGGGCAATGTTTGATCGTATATCGCAACATAACCCATTCAAGTCCTAACTTTAAACATCTAAGCTCTGCTGGGCGCTAAACTTTGTAGTGCGCTTGCGCCTTGCCCTTGGCGGCGTGGTTGCTAGGAAACTGCGAAGCCGCGGTCCTGGCTTCAAATCTCTCTCGACCATGGCCAAATTCGTCATTGCGGGTGAGTGATCCCTGGGTCCGCCTGCAGGTTGCTCAAAACGCCGATAACAGCTCACCTCCCACGGCCGCTTGGCAGTGGTGTTCTTACTGGCTTATAGTAAGTCCAGCGTCTATACGGACAGCTCCATGCTTTGCTATGGATTTATTCAAAGATATTTACTGGACCGTGACGGTGCGCTAAGCACTGTGGGACACTTGGGATACAATGGAGGGGAACATATGTCTACCTTCTAGGAGCTTTCAGTCTCATGGGGCACAGAACATGTACTTTTGATACGGTGTGATTAATGCAATGAAGGAGACCTGCACAGGCCCTGGGAGCATAGACTCCTAATCGGGATTTAGGGGGTGGGGGAGAAGTGGACACAAGGAACTGGCTGGGGAACGTATTGCAGGAGCTGAGTTATGAAGGTATGAGGGGAGGAGGCTATTCCAGATCAAAGCAGAGAGGCTAGAAGCCTCATGGCCTAACCAAAAATCTGGATATGTGAGGAGTGACAGGACCTGGGGCTAGAACAGGAGCAGGAGCCAGGTCCTTGCATTTCATGTACGCCAAGGGAAGGTGTTTGAACTGTATGCTGAAAGCAATGAGGAGTTATAGAAAAATTTTAAGCAGGAGGGTAGTCTTAATGAGTTTGCATTTTACGAAGCCTGTCTTAGCAGCAATGGAGAGAATGATTGAAAGTGCTGGTTGACAGCAAGGACCCAACTGAGAAGACTTTTATTACAACAATCCATGGTACCTGCTCCTTTCCTCATAGTTTCTTGAAAGAGTAGACTGCTCTTCCATCTCCAGTTCTGCCTTCTAATTAATCTTGGAAGAAGGCTTCTAATTCTGCTTCCTGATGGAAACTGCTGTCACCAAAGTCACCAATGACTTTCTTAGAAGCTGTTTATCCTTTGATTTATTTGATCTCTTTGATGCATTGAACATAACTGACGTCTACCATCCACAGAAGAATTTTTTTTTTTGACAGGGTCTTACTTTGTCACCCAGGCTGCAGTGCAGTGGCACAATTATAGCTCACTGCAGCTTTGACCTCCTGGGCTCAAGCAATCCTCCAGCCTCTGCCTCTCAAGTAGCTGGTACTAGATGGGGTTTTGTCATGTTGCCCAGGCTGGTCTTGAACTCCTACGCTCAAGTGATTTGCCCACCTTGGCCTCCCAAATCACTGAGATTACAGGATGTGCCACTGCACCTGGCCCAGAAGAATATTTTTGCACGCTGACTAACTGTATGCTGGGAAGTCAGTGGAAAACACACTTACAGAGAATGCTGCATGTATGACAGTGGCAGAGCAGAGTTCTATAGGAACAATAGCAGGGAACCTTACTTAATTAGGTAAGGGCTTCCCAGAGGGAGAGATTTTTAAGCAGATACCTTAAAGATGATAACAAATTACCTAAGAGAGAAGAGGTAGAAAGGAAGGGAGTAATTTAGGCATAAGTAACAGGGAGTGGAGTTAGAGTGAGGAGAACTAGTTTGGTGATAATTGAGAATATAAAATAAGCACAAAATTGAAATAAGTTTATTAGGACTGAAGCAAAGAGTACAAGGAAGAAAGTGTCATAAAGCGAGGCTAGAGTTAGATAATGTAGATTCTTGTGAGCTATCTTCAGTAGTTTAGATTTTATCCAGAGTTTTGAAAGGGGAGGAGGACCTAATCAAATTTGCATTTTATCTGAATGTTATAGCTATAGTGTGAGAGAGAAAGACTGGGTGCTGAGAGACCAGTTAGGAAACTAGTACTGTAGTTCAGGAGGGAGTTAAAGGTAACCTGTCCTAGAGTGGCAAACAATGAAGATGGAGATAAGTGAATGGATTAGAGGGATACTAGGGAGGCAGAATCTATAGAACTGGATGTCTAATTGAGTGGAGGAGGGCAGATAAGGGAGAAAAAGGAGTTAAACATTATTCCCAAGCAGTGGTTTGAATAACTGCAGAGATTAGGAGTCACTGAAAAAAAAAATAAGCAGAAGACTAGGCTTAATACTCTGGATACTCTTACTGCTCTTAGATAATTAGGAAAATGGACATAAAAATATAAGCGACCAAGCAAATTTAGTAGGGAAGTGGTGACAAAATTCATCATGGACCTTCTGGGTGCCTATGAGACATTTTGAAGGATATGGGAAAATACAGGAGGGTATAGGCATCTAGATAAGGAGATAGATCTGAGCTGGAAATACAGATTTCTACTTGAAGCCAAGGGAATGTAGCCAATTGGCCAGAAAGAATCTGTAAGCTATAAAGACAAGATGCTTCTCAGAATGATACCTTTTAATGGGTTGATAAAGGAATAGGAACCTACAAAGGATAGAAAGGAGTGACCAGAGAAGTAGGAGAAGAACCTGGAGAATGCCCCCACTATAGCAGGTGTTTTAAAAGCATACAAGGCAGTAGTAGTGGCAAATGCTGCCAAGGGTCAACAAGAAAAGGACCGAAAAGTATCCATTGGATTTAGTGGCATGGAAGTTCCTAGTGACCTTCAAGAGAATTGTGGGGTCTACTACATTGCAGTGGATAAGAAATAAATGGAAGTGAAGAACTGAGGATGGCAAATATAGAGTACTCTTTCAAGATATTTTAATAGAAAAGTACATATGAAAGGCAATAGCTAGAGTGGGGGATGATGTTTCTTAGGACAGGAGAAACAATATAATGAGTATATTTAAATATGACAGAAAAGGACTATTAGAAGCATATAAAACTCTAGAAAGAGAGGATAATTAAGCAAGGTTCCTGAGAAGGCAGATGAGGGTGGGATTCAGAGCATAAGTGGTAGGATTAGATGTAGACAGGAGGTAGGACTCCTCTTCAGTTGAAATGAAGAAGGGAGGAAAGGATGAGTCCAAATGCAGACAGGCATGTAGGTGTGATGGAGGAGGTTGGAGGTTTTCCAAACTAATACCGTTTTGTTTTGTTTAGATTGGTTTTTGTAAAGTAGAAAGCAAAGTTTTCTGTTGTCTTCTGATAATGCTGAGGAATGTTGAGAAGAAGGAAAGGATTTGGAGGAAGAGGAAAAAGTTTGGAATAGTCATTGTGGAGAAAAGAACAGACTGCTGATAAGAGAAACAGAGGGATCTCCACGTAGGGTTGAGGGCCAATTAAAGCTGGTGACCATGAATTTTAAAGGTGCCCTCCACTTGGTTCTACCATCTTTCTGTAGTGGTGCCCAGTAGGTAGGACCCAGCTACAGAAAAGGCAGGCAATTTGGTTCATCCAGGATGAGGGGTTTTTATCAGGCTTATTTTCCAAAAGGACAGTGGATAAAGATAATTTAAGACATGGGCCAGAAAGTGATGAACCATAGACTTGAACTAGACAGGGAGGCTAATAGACAGGGCAAGCTTCAGACTGGTTGACAACAGGAGTTCCCATGAGGCCAAGGAACTGGTGACTAGTAGGAGTTACTCAGGAAGAATGCTACAGAGAAGGCTCTGCCTTTTGTCTCGTCTCTCCTGCTCTATCAGCCACCCAATCCCATCTGGTATAATAGCTTTAGCTTCCTGGGTGTTGATGGCTACAAACTGTGCCTGAAACACTCACATGGCACCTGCACCCCATATATATCTATATCCAGCTGCTTGCTGATCATATCCACTTAGACATACTATAAATACCTCCAACTGCACTTGACTAAAATTAAATTTCTCATTCATGGTCTCTCTCCAGTTAAGGTCAGCATCATCTGCCCAAGCCAGAAAATAGAGGTTATCCCAGATTCTTCTTTCCCACCCCCAACAACTTCCTGACATGCATCAAATACAAAAATGATTTTACTACCACTCCTCGCTTCAAACTTTACCTTTCAGTAGCCACTAGTGAGTAGTTCATTATCAGTACTAATTCATGCTGAATTAGTAGTAGTTAGCACCCTCCTAGGGGAAATGAGGTCTAGCATAGTACTAGATGAGAATAAATATTCAGTAGGATTTTTTTCTTTCCAAATTTTATTACTTAAGATTCTGACCTCCTATGAAAATTTATTTTATTTGTATTAATCTAGTAAACATCAGAAGTTTATGTGATGGCAGTTTATGCTGTAACTTCATTTATCAAACTGTAACTATAATTCTGTAATTACATAGCAAAAGAAAACATTGCTAATTTGAACTCTTTTAGGTAGAGCAGATTGTCCATATTATGCTAAAACAGAACTTCTGGCAGACTATTTACAAAAGAATCTTCCTGATTTTCGGATACATAAAATCACACAACGTCCTGAGGTTTGGGAGGTAAGAAGCCTTTGTAGTTTGTTAAACTTGCTGATGTACAGAGGTGTTTTAATTTGATTAAATATTAGCTGGTATATTAGATTGGCTTCTGGTAATGACTGTTCATGTACTAGTGATATTTGAGTACTAGTAAACAAGTCCCTACTTACTAGTCTCAAAATAATATTTACGTTTTTTTCTAATACCTAGTAGAACAAATTCGAGCCTAATCAATACATAGAATAAATTTGACCTCATCCCCTGAAGAATCCAGGTAGCTTACACTGTGCTTGTTAATTTTTCATTCTCCTTGGTATTGGTTTCCTGTGACTTATTTGGGATACCTTACCTTTCTTTAGGACTGTGTTTCCCCAGAAACAGACTTTGAGATGTAGAATTTGGTGAAGGGGCTTTACTGGGAAGAGGTCTTGGGAAAAGCATGCTGAGAAGGAATGAGGGCAGGAGGATTGGTAAAGGGAGAAGTTGAACTTTGACACAACTGCCACAGAGGGCTCAGCAGATCCCACGGTGAACTCTTGATGGCTTTTCAGAGGTTTTCCAAACTCTGAGGCAAGGTAGCTGAGCTTTTGTGCTCCCTCCTTGGCCAGCCATTGAATATCAGCTGCCCCTGGGAAGGAACTTAACCTTAGGCAAGGCAATTTTTGTCAGATGAGGTAAATTCCTAGAGAGAGAATTGAGTGAGACTTAAGTTATCAGCCTCTAATACACCAGGTGCCTGAGAGAGTGAGTGCCTCATTTGTGAAGGGGAATCTGGAGCATATGTGACAGCACTGGACACAGTCCACCTGTTGTGCCTTTTGGATCTACATGTTCCTTATAATCGGTTCACACCATCTTGGATTCTGGTTGCCATCTTTCCCTGGGGAAACTTTATAAGAGAAAGGATAGTCAAATGAACTATAGTCTCCACTGCTCATAGTCTTAGAGCCAAACTGACACTCATCACCTGTCTTCTCTCCCTCTTTTCTCTACTATCCATTATAGATTTCCCTCACTCTCTGCTGGTCTAGTCTTCAGCTAAGCTATCTCATCTGCTGGGTTGTTTAGTGCTCTGTTACAATAAATGTTCTCTGGTTGGCACTGCCCACTGACCTCTATTGTTTCAGGATTTTATCATCTCAATTGCCAGGGAGTTCAGGTCTATAGCACCATGTCCTTCAACAGCCTTGGCCACAATCATATGAAAAAATGCTCCACATCACAGATTATTAGAGAAATGCAAATCAAAACCACAATGAGATACCATCTCATGGGCGGGCGTGGTGGCTTAAGCCTGTAATCCAAGCACTTTGGAGGCCAAGGTGGGTGGATCACCTGAGGTTGGGAGTTCAAGACCAGCCTGACCAAAATGGTGAAACCCCATCTTTATTAAAAAAAAAAAAAAAAAGAGAGAGAGAGATACCATCTCATACCAGTGAGAATAGCTATTATTTAAGAGTCAAAAAATAACAGATGCTGGCAAGATTGTGGAGAAAAAGGAACAGTTATACACTATTGGTGGGAGTGTATAAGATGGAAATATCCTTCAACCCAGAAATCCCGTTACTGTGTATATACCCCCCAAAATAGAAATAATTCTTTTATAAAGACAAGATGCACATATATGTTCATTGCAACACTATTCACAATATTGTAGACATGGAATCAATCTAAATGCCTATCAGTGTTTGACGGGATAAAGAAAATGTGGTACATATACATTAGGAAATATTAAGCAGACATAAAAAAGAATGTTTGCTCTAAGTGAGATAAGGGCAGGCAGATCTTCAGTGTCAGCAAGGGAAATTAGTTTCTGGGATTTTATTTTTTAGGTAGCCTCATTACCCATGCCTCTAATGACATGATTTTAAGACTGCTGCCATGTACTTTGCTGAAAAAATGTGGCTGTCTAACTCTGCTCAGATCTTGTCATTGGAAGGCCTAGCCTGTTCAAACCAGATAATGATAATTTAAACTTTTTCTGATGAATATTATCGGAAATCTCCAAATAACTTTTAGCTTATTCATTCAGTCTGAACTACATAAACCATGCTCACAGATTTAAAAAACAATATCAAATTTTATATGCCCCTAAGACTGGAAATATTTCATGTATAAGAAGAGTAAGGACAAAACTAGTTGAATTTTTTTAAAAAATCAGTTGACTTGGAAAATGTAACGTCTCTTTAAGCTAAACACTTGCATTCCAGGTCTCTTTAGGAAAAAGAACAACTTTCGGTGCCTTTATTTGGTCAATTAATTTGAAGAATACTCTTTCTTATCTAATTAATCTGTTACTAACATCATCCGTATTTTCTATATTTACATTTTACTTTTTAAAGATATCTAAATTATATTATGTATAAGTAGTGACATTAAAAACAACCTAGTATTTTAATGTTTGAATTCTAAAGCATGAAATTGAATTATCCAGCAGATTTAATATGTGACTTCACTTGGAATGTCATTCAACAGGATTGGCTAAAAGATGTGTGTGAAAAGAATAAATGGAGTCACAAGAATTCCCCCATCATCTGGAGAGAGCTGTTGGATCGTGGAGGCAAGGGTTTGCTTTTGGGAGGATATAATGAGTTCCTGGAGCATGCCCAGGTATATGTTAACTTGACTTATCTGTTCTAACAATGATAATTCTCTTACATTATTTTATTTTTCAAATATCTTGCTTTCTGAGTCATTATCTCATGTCTCTTTTTATTGTTTTTTGACTTTAAACTAAAAGTTTCCATTATAGTCAATTTCAACTAGTTATCTATTCTCTGATACTGACTTTCTCTTTCCCAATATTTAGCTTTACTATGATGTCACCTCTAGCATGACGACTGAGCTGATGCAGGTAATTGCTCAAGAGAACCTGAGGACACATATAGAAAAAGAGCAGGAGGAGGAAGCCCTGAAAACTTGCGTCAACCCCTTGCAGATCTGGATCACCAGGTGGGACAGTCAAATCCCAGGATTCATGAGATTGACGTTTAATATTTAGAAAGGACAATGAGATGGGATTCATTTCATGATGGAAGACTACCTGAATGTCAGGTTTGAGATTTGTGTATATGTATACTTAATGCGTACACACACACACACACACACACATACGAGACATATGTGTGTGTATGTGTGTGTGTGTGTATGTATGTATGTATGTGTGTGTATCCTCCATATAATTCATAAATGAGTTTTAGGTTTTACACACACACACACACACACACACACACACACACACACACACTTGGTCTAAAAACAACTCTATAGCTTGGCTGCTTTGCAGAAGCTCGCCCTCTCTGACTTGCTCCCTCCCTCTTTCTAACTTGCTAGAGCTTTCTTTGCCTTTTCTCTATGCACCTACTCCCCCCACAACCCCCCTCCCCACACTTTGCTCCCTTTTGCTTTTCTTCTCATGTGTGCTCCTCTTTGCTCCCAGCCTGGGCACATGCGGTCTTTGTTGTCGCGCTGTCTCTCTTTCTTTCCTTACACTGCCTTTCTGTTTCTTTTCTTCTCTCTCTCTCCCTCCCCCTGTCCTTTCCTCATCCCTCAGTTTGTCTTTTGCACTTTCCTGCTCATATGCACGTGTGTATCCTAATATATACACTCATTTTAAAAACTGTTATGAAATATTTGAAATACAGAAAGGAATTGAGAATGATGTAATAAACATACATAATCCATCTTATCACCCAGATTTAACAACTATCACATCTTCTTTAGATATGTTTCAAAGGATTAAATTGGTACAGATACTGTTGAAACCCCCATTGCATACCTCGCCACACCCAGTGTGATTACCAGAAATGCTCAGATGCATTTCTGAACTTCCCATGGCAGGCATTACAGTTCACAGTTGATAGTCACAGCTGTAAACACCTGCTGAATTGTGGTTACAGATACACCATAAATAGCCTATGTTGATCTGAGCCATCTTTGTAAGGATTTTTCTGTGTAAGAATTTGGAAAAGGCAGTCCTTTCCAAAAAAAAAAAAAAGTCATTACTGTGTAGATGAGGTTATATTTTTTTAAAAAAGAGCTATGGCTAACTGAAACTTATATCTTTATCTTTTTAGCGGGAAATATAAACATAATTACAGTAATATAATACAGTTTTTTTAATTTTTATTTCTGCATAAGGCGAATTGTGTTTTCTTTGAAAAACCTAATAAACAGGTATATTTCTTATTTGGGGACTGATTGCAGGTGGCCAGAGCAATGGACTGACTGGTAGTGAGAAGTTTTTATTCTTCCTTTGACTTCTAGCCTTAAAATGTCAGTGCAGCTGTGTGTGTGTGCTTATTTAAATATGAAACCACCCTGTTGATGTACATGCAAAAATATCTATTAAGAATAAAGGCTTAAAAGGGACAAAGGATGTAACTATTCACAATCCAGCTTTGAATTTTTAACAGTGCCTCTGCTCCTGCCTGCTACAACCTAATTCCCATATTAACGAGTGGTGAAGTGTTTGGGATGCAGACGGAAATTAGCATAACTCTGTTTGACAACAAGCAGGCTGAAGAACATCTCAAAAGCCTAGTGATGGAGACCCAGGACCTGGTGTCACCGGTCCTGCGCAGCGTCTCCATCTGTACGACGGTAGAAGAGGCCTTCCGCCAGGCCCAGGTCATTGTGGTGCTGGACGACACCACCGACAAGGAGGTGTTCACTCTGGAGGACTGCCTCCGAAGCAGGGTGCCCCTGTGCAGGCTCTATGGGGACCTGATAGAGAAAAATGCTGATGAGTCCGTCAGAGTCATCGTGGGCGGGAAAACCTTCGTGAACCTGAAGACAGTTTTACTCATGAGATACGCCCCACGCATCGCACACAGCATTATTGCAGTGGCACTGGGGGTGGAAGGTGAAGCGAAAGCCGTACTGGCCAGAAAACTGAAGACAACTCCCTCATGTGAGTGAATGACTCGTTATGATTTTGTTTTTGTTTTGAAACAACATGATTTCAAAGCAGCCAGGAAGAACACTGTCCCCTCTAGGAACATTCTGAGTATCTGGGATAGAAAGTGTAAAACAGACATAAAGAACTTGTGTGATTTGATTACTGTGCAAACTTTTTTTTTTTTTTTACTGGCTGCTGACTTTTGTGTCTTTTTCCATCATTATAAAAATCAACAAATATTTAGTAAGATATAATTTATATTACTCAGGTGATAATTTGATACTTGGTATTCCATTTTTCCCATTATAGTCGATTAAGGTAACCAGTGTTTAAAAAAATCTAAGCTATGTGCAAGTGGCTCTGCCCCATCTCTCACACATACGACCTTGAGCAGTCGTTTAATCTTCAGATGCATCAGTTTCCTCATCTGTAAAATGAGGACGTTAACAGCACCTATCTCCTAGAATGGATGTGAGGATTCAGTGAGATGTATTTCTAAAGTGCTTAGAAGAGTGTCTGGCACATGAAAAACATTTCCAAGCATATGAAGCTTATCAATAGGATTATGATATCTGATCAGTTTCTGCTCCTATTAATATTTGAACTGGTAAATATCCGAATCATTGAAGGTGAGACTAGATCAGAAAATGGATTGTTGTATTTGAAAAGGGAGATAATATTGGACATATTTTAGCTAGTTTTGCCTTTAGGTGGAGCAGGTGGCAACTGTGTCCATTGAGAAGGGAAGGAGATGCCAGGCATTCTCTCAAGCAAAATTGGAAAGACAATGAAATGTGAGCCTAGAATGTTCCCAGTTAGGATGAAAAAGCCTTCAGTGAACCCCTAACATTATAGCCAGAGCTGTATTATCTTATTTGTTACAATGAAACTCTGGAAATCATAACTTCAGCTACTGCTGCATACATACATTTAGTGTTTTATTCCCAACGTCACTACAACACTTAACCAAATTGATGCTAAAGTTATTCAATAGGAAATGAAAACATTTTTCTAACTATTTTATCTCTGTCATCAACCTTCTATGTGTAGACATAGACTTATCATTGAAGGTGTATGATACACTACTGAAAAATATCAAGAAGAATCTAAAACAGGGTGTATGTGTGGGTGGGGTAGGGGGGTGTTGATGAAGGTTGGGGGCTTTCAACCAGAAAGCTTCTCTCTTGTGGGTCTGCTGGTGCCATGACTCTAAGCTCCACTCTACTCAAATCCAATAAGCATGTAAGAAGCAGAAAAAAGAAAAATGGAGGAAAGTTGGTGAAAGGAAAAAGGCATTAGAGGGACAGTAGTCCAAGTAGAATTGTCAGTGAAGCAGCAAGGAGACACCCAGCAATGACAAAAGTTGAGCAAAACCTCATGAAAGAGAAAAACCACCAAGGAAATTATTCAGGGATTATTCTAGATGCCAAGAGGGTGGCAAACCTTTTCAGAAAAGCACGACCCATAACCCCTAAGTTCAGTTCATAAATAACCCTATTTATTGGACCATGTGTATTGGCTCATCAGGACTCCTTCTGTTGCAAGAAAGTCAACTCAAAGTGACTGAAGTCACCAGGTACCATGGCTCACACCTGCAATTCCAGCTACTTGGGAGACTGAGGCAGGAGGATCCCTTGAGCCCAGGAGTTTGAGGCTGCAAGTGAGCCATGAGGCTACAGTAAGCCTGGGCAATAGAGCAAGACCTCGACTCAAAAAAAACCCAGAGAACAAAAAGTGATTGAAGTCAAATAGAGAATATTTTCCCTGCATAACTGAAAAGCACAGAAGGTAGTTCTTATTTCAGAAATAGCTGGATGCTGGGGCTCAAACTGTGGCACCAGGACGTGCCTGCGTTCTCTCTGCTGGCCTATCCCTCTGCTCTGCTCTCTGTGTTGGTCTCCTTCTCAGTTGAGCCCTAAAAAGTGGCATCCCAGACTCGCATGCTTATAGTTTACCTACAGCAGGAAAATTAGGGCTTTCTTTCCCAATTGGTGGTTCAAAAGAAGTACAAATTCATCGTCCAGGGTGGGACTGCATGCCTCTCTCTAAATCAATCATCAGGGCCAGGAGGGTGGAATCTGCATCTAATGCCTATAGGTGGACTTAAGGCATGAGGACAACCCCACCTGACACATAGGGACTGACATTGGAGAAGGAACGGTTTTGTAAAGAAAAACCAGGATGTTCTTAATGAAAAAAAAAAAAAAAAAAAAGAGGAATTCATACCTAGAGGGAAAAAGGCAGATGTCCACTCTCATTTTCTGTAGCATAATTTAAGGTGTTTAGAGCTATCAAGGGCCTCAAAGCTAATAAGAAAAATGAAACCCAGCAAGATTAAAAGGCTTCTTTAGGCTGTAGGAAGGAAGCCTACCATATACTTACCTAGTCGAAGAATTATTTTCCCCATATGGGATCCCACGAGCTCCAAACCCCTGACCCCTACCCTCCCCTCCCTCCTACAACATGCAGCTGAGGGACCCGGGAACACATCGCTGCTCCCCTGAGAGTTGGGTGGTGGAGGGAGAACTAGCTATTCCTACTGCATGAGTCATTCTGATGAGGGCGGGAATCTCACATGACGAAGGTAGGCAGTGATGGTGGGCTACCCAAAATCTGTTTCCCATCCTCTTCTCCCCTAGCCTCTCTCTACTATAGAGGCTCAAACAATCACCCCTTTTCTTAGTTTCTTTGCATCTAGGAGTGGTTGAGTGACCTAGTCTCTTTGGGGTCCCCTGGGAAGAATATTTCACTTTCTGAAAAGAGAAAAGGCAAAAGAGGAAGCTTCCACCCCATTCTTTTCCCTATTGCTTGCCCTTAAATGCAACTGGGTGAGAGAGAGTGATAACTTGGAGCTGCTGCAGCCATCTTATGACCATGAGGGGAAGGCCAAGAGAATCACATCTGTGAGCTGTTAAGCCAGCACATGTCACTGCCTACCATGACTTACCTGAGAAAAGTAGTCCTTCTAGTTAGGACAAGTCAGTAGAATGTTCTGTGAGGTGAGGTCAAAAGCAGTAGAATGTTCTGTGCAGCGATGTGTTCCCGGGTCCCTCAGCTGCATGTATACAGGAGAACAGCGAAGAAGTTACTCTCCACAGTAGAAAGTGGTGTGTACTTATAAGTGAGTAAGTTTTTAGGCAAATAAATAAGTTAAATAAGTAAATAAATAAAATTATTTATTTGCAGTTTCCAGACAGCATTCCTAGACAGTTCACAATTATAAAATTGTATTGAATGCCAATGCCTATTTCTCTCCAACCCCTTTGGTCTTATTTTATTTTTTAGCATGTATCACTTTGTGTAATACCTCATCCACTACCCACCATCCCTAGAATGTTGTAAGGATTTGAGCTGATTTGTTTTCTTCTAAACCTAGTACCATTTCATAACTATTTGTTGACTAAGATGTGCCCAGGGTCCTCATTTTGCCAGAGCTGAAACCCATCAGAGAGTTAAGTGATTTGCCCTAATTGCTATTCTAGTCTAGAATCAAGAACTCCTTGTTAAAAATCAAAGCATATTAAAAAGTCCTTTCTCTCTCAGCCTCTCTTGACTTCTCACTCACTCTGTCTCCCCCTTTCTGTCTCTTAATGGCAAGCAAAGTCAGGACAAACACCAGTAATATAATTTTCAGTAGCAGTTTCTTTCAAGGAACTTTTCTTTATTTCTGTAATTTAATTATACACCATACCATTCATAGAACATTATTAGGGACTGCCAAACTATGATAATTAGGGGGGTGATCCACACATTTTGCACAATTTTAGGAATTATAAACTTAGATTGATTTTATAGAAAAAGGACCAATCCTAAAACAAACATGCATACAAACAAAAAATAGGCTTTAGGTAATTTTTATATGAATATACATTACTGTGATTTTTTTAAAAAACTTTCTATTCTTCACAGACATTAAAGATGTGATAATTTGGGGCAATATCAGTGGAAATAATTACGTTGATCTGAGAAAAACAAAGGTGTACAGATATGAGAGTGCCATTTGGGGACCTCTTCATTATTCACGCCCTCTTTTAAACTTGATTTTTGACAGGTACGGTATATTTTTAAGTGAAGTATACTGACAGTGTTAAATGTATAATGGTTGTAAATTTTTAAATCGTCTTATACATCTTTGCATAAAAGTAACTTGCATTGTTCACACTCATATTTGTTCACGCTGTCTACTGAAGAAACAGAAAATTCGACAGAATATCAACTAGGTAATTGATTTTGAAATTACAAATTTTTATATTTCAGATTGTCCAGTAGCTCATATATTCAAGTAAGGTTATCTCTAAAGCAAGCATATGTAAGGGAATCTTACTTCATGTAAAGACAGAGCTGCTATCCAGGTTGAAGTTAGTTGAAACATTTTCAAGAAAAGAATTAAGATGACGAGCAGGCACAGGCCAGGCTGGGCGTTCTGTGGCAGGAGGCAGAAGCAAGAGGTGGTGAGGAACACGGTCTTAGAACCAAGCCTCCCAGGCTGGGATCCTCACTTAGCCACTTATCAGCTGTGTGACTTTAGAGAAGTTGCCTAGCCTCTCTATGACTCAGTTTTTCATCGGCAAAGTGGAAATGGCAACATGATAAGGGCCCTATAGGGTCCTGGGGAAGATGAAATGGATTACTGCAGATAAGGGACTTAGAGCTGTGTCTGGTGTCAGCACAGTAAACACTAGCAACTATGATGAGGCAGAGGAGAAGCGGGAAGGAGCACCTCTGAAGCATTTTTCTAAACTTTGCAGCATGTTCCCAGTTGTAGCATTTTCTTTCCATTGCCTCTTGCCTTCCTTTTCTTCCTCAGACTATGGAACTTCACCCCTGCCTAGGGATGATGTGTCCTGAGTTCGCTATTTTGAAGCATGATTCCTCTGCATTTGCTGCCCGGGCAAGACCAGTGTTGCACAGAGCTATGTCGTGCTAGGCTAGCAGAGGCTAACTGGCTGGACTATTCTCTGAGTTTAGGCTTTGGATCATAAAAACTTAATTATTTTCCTAATTCTCAACATGAATCCAGCTTGAGCACCCCAATCCAAAAATGAGAAATCTGAAATGCATCAAAATCTGAAACTTTTTGAGCACCAACATGATGCCACCAGAGGAAAATTCTACACTTTGCTTTCTGATGGTTTAATTTACACAATCTTTGTTTCATGCACAAAATTATTAAATATGTTGTATAAAATTACTTTCAGGCTATGAGTATAAGGTGTATGTGAAACATAAACTTTGTGTTTAGACCTCAGTTCCATCCCCATGATATTTCATTGTGTATATACAAATATTCCAAAATCTGAAACACTTCTGGTCCTAAGCATTTAGGATAAGGGATACTCAACTGTAATTCAGTGTTTTATGAAATTATTTTGTTTAAAGTGAAGGGTACTACTGGTTGCAAGATAGTGTCTACACAGGATAAATTCTTTGTAATAAAAGTAATGGTTCTTGCCATTTTTAGCCGCTTTTCTGTGTTCCATATTTATATTATCATATTTTCAGTTTGACATTTGGGGACTCCTTTCTGCTACATCTCATTGTTTTTCACTTGACTTTTTATGGGGATTGAAGACACTTGAGGAAAGACACTAGAAATAGTCATATTTCTATCTTTGACTGTGGATACGGTTTCTGAAACTTAGTTCCACTGACCAGAGAACATCTTTTTTCACTCTCCTTCCTCTCTCCATTGTAAAACTGTTTCTCTCCTTACAGTGAGTGGGTAAAAAGAGAATTTGTGGAAACTCTTAAAAACTTAACTGCCACAGGAAGACAATTTGGAGGCATTTTGGCTGCACACAGTATAGCCACTACATTGAAATACTGGTACCATGGCTCACCGCCTGGGGAGATTGTATCTTTAGGAATATTGAGTGAAGGTAAATCTGGGTTTTTTATATCTTGTAAAATCTTAATGCCTCTATCTATGCCTTGTGCACCTAATTCTGTGTCCCCGCCTGTCTAGTTCTTTGCGTGGTCTATAAACTGTATGGACTTTCACAGTTTCATAATCATTCATTCATTCATTCAATTATTCATTCAGAAGATCAACGATATTTTGTATGAATGCATTGGAAATACACATAGGAATTAAGACCTGGCCTCTGCCTTCAGGAAACCTACAGTGGAATAAACAAGAGCCAGATACATAAACAAAATCATCTTGTTAGGTTTTCCTAGCAAAAGATAAAGGGAAAGCAAAGTCAGTTCCAGGCAGGAAGCAGGTAGAACCAGGACAGGCTTCATAAAGAAGGTGACACTCCAGTAAGACTAAAGTATGAGGAATGTTGACCTAGAAGACAAGTGTGGAGGCCGGGCGCGGTGGCTCAAGCCTGTAATCCCAGCACTGTGGGAGGCCGAGGCGGGTGGATCACGAGGTCAAGAGATCGAGACCATCCTGGTCAACATGGTGAAACCCCGTCTTT